ATGAATGTCGCGTCCCGGCCTTGAGTTAGGCGTTCGCGTGTGTGCTTTGCTTTTTCACAAAGATTATTTTTAAATTGACTATTGACATTTTTATGTGTAAAATAATATTAGAAGTGGAATACTTTATAAAAAGTATGATCTATCAAATGTTAAAATTTTTCAAAAGAATAACTTATTTCATATCCCGAGATGATCTTAAGACCTTTATTTTGCTTTAAAGATACAAAAATACAGGTTAATTAATATTTAACTTTTTGAAACAAAAGAAGTTAATTTTTAACTTTTTTGTTAACCGTAACTGAAAAAAATTTGCCGATAACCGTGAAAGAGCCAAAATTTTAGCCGATAACCGTAAATGCCACCACCCCATTGAGACCCTCGACTAATACACAATACCGCCAGCTACGCAGGTTAGGCTGTGGATGTTTACGCGGCTTCGCCGCTCGTGACGGCTCCGCCGTTAAATCTCACTCGACTATATTACAACGGCTCCGCCGCCAAATCTCACTCGACTACTACTACAAAATACCGCCAGCTACGCAGGCTAGTGTTTAAATTACCAAAGGGAGGAATAAAATATCATTCGTTGACATTTTCTTAATTCAGGCACAATGATAAGGCTGATATGTCACGTTTTTCAGAAATTGTTCTCCTTTAATCAGAATGATTTTTGAAAGTCATAAAGTTTAGATGATCTATGGGAAATAAACAAAATCAAAAAAAATTCAAGCCATATGTAACGTAGGCTATTTTCGGTTGTGATTGCGTGATCTACGTCATAGTTATTTAAAATTAATACTCCGTTGTTTTGAGTGACATTCCATAAGTGATCGGTATTATCTTTTATTCAGACCACGAGCATTATAGACGTGTGTTTTTTTTTTGAGACCTTTTCTAACCTAACTGATCCAAACCTTTAGCGTAGGTAGGCGTCGAGGTTAGGAATGCACTATTGTAATGATTTTACATGACCGCCTGCCATTTATTCAGTGGCATGATTGTTTATTGATGTTGGACGGACAACTATTTCATTTCCCAGCTCGTAAATCACATAATGCCAAAGAAATTGTTTTCAAAATAGACACACCAGTTTGTATCATCGCCAAAACAGCAATTACTTTGGCCCAGAAGTTCACCTGATGACAAGCAAAGCGGGATAACACGTGATCGATGACGGCCGTGCGCTGGAAAATTTTCCTTTTTTATGCGCTAATTCCTCACAAAAGGCAAAAGAAGATTCCGCTATGTAGACAGTGCTTCGCAATACGTATTCTTGGCGAGAAAAATTCCAGCGATGTGGTGCAAATAAGGAGTTTCAACGGTTAACCACGAGAATACATATCGACATTTCCGTTTGCCGAAACGTGCATGGTTAACCGTTGTAACCCGAAGGAAGCAGTGTTTTCCTCAGTTTGAGCTGTCGTTTTCTTTCCAAATACCAGTTCACGTTTCAAAGCTCTCTTTTCATTTTCTCTGCCGACAATACACAAAAACACAGGGTTTCGCTTGAGAAATGCAGTCGAAATACACAGACATATGCGCTTATGTCACGCTATTTGCGTTGCGTTATCATGTCACACAGGGTGTCACGAGGTGGGATTGAAAGTAATTGTTTTCGTGTACACTTGCAATGTTTGCTACGCTGTCCTTAGTTTTTTATTGAATTGGCCATGAATTTACCTTCACTTTTCCGTAGTTTCGATATTGAACGCAGTGACGGCCGCTCCTCACTAACGCTCCATATTTCCGTGGCCGGCCAGTGACTATCCCCACTACGTGTCAATCCTTACCCTATCCGTGATTGTTTGGGCCTTAACAATAGGATAAAGTGAAGAACGAGAAATATCCACTTTATTAAAAATATTTTCAGTTCGCACCCCCTTGAAATTCATCAAAAGTTGCACACAGGCGCGAGGTTCAGCGTCAGTTTTTAGCTTGTAAACCATATCGACGTTAATTCTGGATATCGCAGCCCAGTATTAGGTCATCGCGTAATTCGAATTGGCCCTATAATTCGGTCTTGAATAAGTCTATGTCACCCCCACTACCAATAACATAATTATGTCATCGATTCCTTTAATTTCAGTTAAAATCAGTGTTATACACGGGTCAACTTGTGTGCAGTAGCACAATTTTGCATTCAGACAATCAGGGACAAAAGTGTCGACACACTCTGGTAAAATGGCCCCTTTTTGCATAGTGGATATGCTTATTCCCTTCTCCTGTCTACCCCAACCCCTCCCCCCCCTCCCCCCCCCAAAATCAATGTTGTATTTTGGATCCTCAAGTCTTTTTTTTACTTCAGACAACATTGATTCTGGGGGTGAGGGGATTTACGGCGTTTAAAAGGAATGAAATAATAAATGAATTAAATGCTTGTTAAAAGCACCCGTTTTAAACAAGTGTGTCAACTACTTTTGTCCCTGATTGTCTGAAATATGTATCTGTGTTTTCCGGCTAGATTTTTGACGCTGCTGAATTTTTGTGCGATGACGTTACTCTATGGGCCAAATTGTTTGTTTATAAAAATCAATTTATAGAGTTTCGTCCTGTATACGTAGAGTAAAATGTACGAAGCGTATGTCATTACTTAATCTTGTACCCCCGCGCGCGTTCCAGATACCCTGTCGGGTCGAGACGAAATGATTTGTGTTGTGATCAATGCCGTTGCTGCGGATGTAATGTTCTCACAAGTATTATCAGTAGTGGAAAAAGGATGCAAACATTAAGGTACAATGAAAATTGTTCTGGTAAATGGTTAACTTAAGCGAATGAGGTACTGCAGAGTAACAGAGGGGACATGCAATATTTTTGACATTGACTTTTTCCATTACAGAAAGGACGTGAACAATATACAGGTTATGAACCTGATAAATGATGGGCCAGCCGTTTGTGCTGTGCCCTATATATTCGGAGCTAGAGAAGCGCAGAGATTGTAAACGAAGGATAGATCTAGGATCGTGACAAATACTTGAGTTGTATAGTACCGGGGAAAGAGGTATGTCTTAAATTTATTGTTTGTTTATATTTAGATCCCGAAATGTTTTATTGTTATCGATTGTGAGCAGATTTGTTACGCTTAAGAACATTTGTATTGTTTAGATTTATCTGTATGCATGCCCCTCGTGCTCAAGTTAAGATCACTTCAATTTGTTTAGATTTTATAGTAATAGCTTTATTTTCGCTCATTGTATTTCAGTGTTTACGAGATTTCAAGCTAAATAAAGGACTTTATAGATCGATAGATGCTTGGAGTTTCCGTTTTGAACACAAAACATTTCTCCGATGCTGCGTTGTTAACTTAAGAAGCTTTGAGATAGACATTCCAGAATGATGTCAACGCACGCCCCGTTACACCATGAGTCGTTTCAATCTCTATCCTGGCTTAGTCGTGGTTTTTACTATTTTCCATTTCAGTGGTCACGCCTTACAGAACAGTTTGTTTAATTTGAAGAAAGTTCAATCAAAATAAGCTTACAAAATCAATACTGATCTAACAATTTTAATAGCAAGTTCACTTACTATAAAGTAAAGGTCAGTCTCTGTGAACTGAAAACTTAATTAAGATAACTATTCAATCGTGGAAATTACATCCGCGTTTGATGCTCATGGCGGCGCGCCTCGTTAAACTTACTGATCATAGCCACCACTCACAATACTTTTGTTTCTATAACATTCCGCGAACGGGGCAGAAAACATTCAAAAACATTTTTAAACTCAAGTTCTTTTTTCTTCTTACAAACAATAGGGCTTTTCGATCGGTTTAATTTGTTCTTCCCTATGACAGAAAGGAGGACTTCAGTAAACCAACGTTGGTAATTATATTATACTTCCAAATCATGATAATGAATGCCGGATCGGTCATAGTCAACAGCGGATGTTATATATAGGCACAACTAGTTTACTTAATTAACATGAAAAGAAAAGAAAAGTTATAAAAATGAACTTCATATTAATTATTGCTCCGGCAGGCAGTATTAACAACGAAACTGTTTTCGTGATTTGTAGCGGATGCTGTTTCTATCATAAGTCGGGAACTTTGAAGAAAGGACCAATGACGATTTATAAAAAACAGTTAACAGAGGGTCTCAATGGGGTGGTAGCTTTCACGGTTGAGTCTTGATGACGGTTAACTTTTTTATTTTTGAAGCGGGCTGACGGTTGATTGACGGTTAACCCACTCAATTCAGACTCCCTAAACATATACCTATTGCGAGCTGAATGAAAGACAGTATTTGTCGCTGATCAAAAGCGGATGTTATTTCCACGTTTGAGTGATCCTGGGGTATCTCGCTCTTAGACATTCGCACTCTATATAACTCTTGCGTGGCTCATAGCTCGCACGTATCTTTATAGTCCTTTTGTTTTCTAAATCTTTCGCTAGGTCAAAATTGACCGCTAATCTTGCTCTTAATCTCTGAAAAGATATGAATGCTTCTCTGTGGCCAAAATATGCTAACACCCGATAAGAAGCACATAATAATATCGTCGTTACTTTCCGTCTAAGTCTGGATGTTATGAAATTGATCCGTTTCGCCCGATTAAATGAAACAAGAACATGGTAAGATATTGAAAAAAGAAGAATCTACATTTCGTACCTTCTTCATCATCATCATTGATGTTCTCAGAGAACTTCTAGGTGAGAAATCTTAAATAATGAAGCAATAAATCCCGCTAACCAGCCGCACGCCGTTTTCAAATTGTGTTTCTCCCGTCGTTTTTTGACTACAAAACTCCAGAAGCGTCATGGCCCCTCCCTTCTCCTGTAGTATAAGTTTCAAGCTCATCGCAAGAAAGGAGGAAGGATATTTGAACGTAGTCACCTTCTCCATAAACAGTAGAAAAACTTCAATTGCTTGAAAAAATTGAAAGCTTTTAATATTAAAATTAATTAATTGATTAAATATATAAACATACGTGGACACGAAAGTCCTAAAAAGCCATGGCGGTTTAAAGGTGTTCAAAGGCTTACACTAGAGGCCTCATTACAGTGACGGTCTTTATAATTCCCCACTTGGCTTGGTTTTTGTGATCTGAGGATATGCTTCGACACAGGCAACAGGTTTATTACTGCCACTGTCGAGCAGCTCCGCCTTAACGCAGTAATCTCCCTGAAAAATAAATAACCACCAGTGAGTGGACCTTTTCATAACAGGAAGTAGATTGGCCGTTTAAATTTAAGGCCATAATTAGCAAAGTGGAGCTTTCCATAAAACATTAGCAAGAGCTAAGCTCTACGTTCCGGCACAATGAGCTTGCTTTCGACGGTTGTTTCAAAAGATCCATATCTTTAAAGCCGCTTTTTGAATTGATGAAAGATGTTCTAATGCCTAAGCATGCTATTTACTACAATAAAGAGATTAAGCAAAGATGTTTATGGGCGACGCATGTCAACCGGAAGTGACGCCTTCCCTTTCAGTACGCCTTAACGCTACCAAATTTGTATTGCTAAGTGTCTTTACGCTTATAGAGACAAATTGCCCCCAAATTTGGGCGTAACTACAAACCCAAGATTGCGAAAAGTCCACTTCCGGTTGACGTGCGTTGCGGTAAAACATCTTTGAGAGCCTCTGAACCTCATGTTCGAGTTATCTTCATGTGTGCACGGCCATTATAGAGCAACTGAAGACAGTCTGGGGGACTTCAAGTAAGCTTAATATATATTAGGTATTCCTCGGTGATTTTCTTACTCTGTACGGTGTTCTGTATCAATTTGTTCAACCAAGCCTCGACTTTATTTCATTTATGAGTGCACGATAATAAACAACACCACAAGTTAACATCTTCCATATTCCTTTAAACTAGTCCTTATTTCGCTTTCAGAGTCATTACTACTAACCTCGGGAACTAAGGCAGTAAGAAAGCCTGGCAAATTACTCAAATGGAAAGACTGTTGTTCAACGACGTACTCCTTCGATGGCAGAGGACATGTTGCTCCTTTTAAGAAGACGGCTATCTCACTGCATTTCACGTCCTGACTACTTTAAATAAAACAACCAATTTCGTTAGCGCTTAATGGGAGAAAAGAGTATGAACACGTTGGCAGGAAAATATACAAGTGGCGAAAGCCTCAAGTACTAAAGGAGTTACTAGATAGCTTTGTACAATTCTTGAACAGTACCAGACTATATATATAAGATGGGTACAATCAGTCAGAAATAGACCTTCTCTTTAATACAATAGTTCTATCTAATATTAATTATGCGTTATCCGTCTACGCTGCGTCCGATTCCAATCTTACATTTGGACAATGTTTCTTGCACCGCTATTTTAAAGGGAAATACATACACTTCTACGCCTGTAAGAGTACATGACTTCTTAGAGAGACAAGATCACAAAATTTTTAGAAAATTTTCGTACTCTACTGGACATCCACTCTTATCTATAATGCCTCGAGTCAAACCTTCTAGCTACCAGCTTAAGAAAGAAACTTGTTCTAAACTTAACATTAATACTCTGCGTTTTAAAAACTGTTTTATTAATTAACCAAATTAGCTCTGTAATATACTGGATTTTAATTCTTACTTCTTACTAGGTGTAGAATTTCTTAATTAAATACACTAGTAGCAAAAATATGTATTTTTATCTTTTGACGAATAAAGACTTTATTATTATTATATCCTTGGTTTGAGCAGTACCCATATGTCATCATAATCTATATATAAATGAGAAACGATAAGTGGGACAGGTCTTGCAAGAACAATTTACAATTTGATAGAAAATATTTCATTATTCGAAGAGAAACAAAGTACAGTACGATTTTGCACTTAACAAAAAGAGCATCCCAGTTTAAATGCGGACCATTAAATTATTGTTGCAGCGAGCCGAGATTTTATAGTACTGAATTGAAAACGTTGTGTTAGTTCATATCTTTTTAAACGGTATGTTCTCAAGTTTTGAAGTTTTGCATCGAAAAAAGTTTCCATTTGTAGATTGTTTAATATTGTTTTTAGTATTTTTTTATATTAGCGTTCTCTTTTGGTGATATCCTATTCGATTCTAAGAAGCATTTTCAATTGGTCGATTATGACTTTTTTTTTCAAATCTGTCTTTAACGCCTGTGTCCAGGTTAATTTCGTCGAGACAGTGATGTTAGTAATATATCGTCTCTTAGTAACTTGAACTATTTCGTTTCCTCATAGCTTTTTGTTCCGGCGATTTGCATTGTATGGTAATTGTATTACTCTCTTTTTTTAAGAACCTGTTTTATAACAATGTTGAGCCTGAAATTTGCTAAAATATTAAGAGCATACTAAGAACTGATACCCGAGGTTCAGAGAAGAACAATTTATTTTTCAGACTCAACACGAAAAATGGACGTTCTTATATATAGAAAAACGAGTGTATGGATCTTCCTTACCACTTTGGACATGGAATACGAAACCACGTAAACCATGCTTTCTTCCACAGTGAAAGGCGCAGTCTATACTGTGTCCCAGTCGTACCATCTAATTTAAACTTTCCACTGAATTTAATGTTAGCACCTTCCGCAAGAGGGATTGGTTGTGGACTGAGATTTATCTCTTTGACGTTTATGGGCGTACTTCCATCTGTTAACAGTTAAAGAAAACACAGAGAAGAAATGGATTATGTTCAACTTTTTACTTGTGAAAGCTGATTGCAGACCAGCCAGTTTTGATGGAGTGTTTACGCGGTTGGCAAGCGACAGCAAACCGATAAAGGGAATCTAGAGGGAATGTGGAAGGCCCCTTTTGCCTCCCTTTAATCCCATACTTTTCGAAGCCTGTCGCCCCGTGTGGTTGAGCTTCCCTTATGAACTTTTCGCATTACACGAAAAGCGATCGTTAATTCCCGAGAGGATAACACTGGCGGGTTAAAAGTTTTTATGGTCTCTGTACAGCGCAACTGCTCGATCGGACACAGCTAAAGGGCAAAGATTATAGTGACTTTTGATAAGCTTTTCAAGCTAACTGATTACAAGTCGAGACTGAAATCTTAATCGATTAGCTGTTTATTAAAAAAGATGCACCATTGCCGTCGTTGATACATTACGAAATCACGGTAACATCAAGAATTCTGTTTAGTTGTTTGCTCTGACGAAGGGGAACACGCACCCGAAAACTGTCATCTGAAGAACTCTTTATGGTGGCGAATCAGTACTAACTATAATTATCAAATATCAGAGCACTCTTTAGGACAAGAAGTGTACGACGGTAATCAGCAACATTAAAAGTATACGATTTTCGAGAATAAGTTAAGGTATAAACTACGTTTGGCTAGATAAGGATAGTTTTGACTGAGGCCATTAATTTTGGTTCGATTATTGATATTTGTTGTTCGTCAAAACTTGTATTAAAAGTTCTGGTTCTCCCTTTAAATTAAATTGAGTTTCAAATCAATACTTAATTTCTCTCAGCTCACCGCAGTTGCTCCATGACATAGCACCAACTTCAGAAGACAAAACCACGAGAACTAGGAAAATCTGTACGAGAGCCATGACCAGTTCACCTTAACTCTGATGCCAATGTGCCTCCGGCTAGTTCAATCTTATTGCAACTGTGTGTTATACGGACTGTTCCTACAAAATAGATTAATCAGAACTTTGATAAAACAACTTATACTTTCTGTAGAACAACTTGTACACTCTGTAGAGACTGTCATTGGTACTTAATGTCCCGGGGACAACGACGATTTTTTTTACTGTTGTAACAGTATAAATAACAAAAAACTCTCGTGGTCATCAACGAATTTAGTTGTTTATGGTCTCTTGAGTTTTATCCTACTCAAAAAGGCAAGAGTTTGCCAACATATCGGCGTACTTTCGACTTTTTTTTAACACTATTCGTTGGTTGATTAATATGAAAACACAGCCTTAACATGTTTTCCATATAAGCTTGTTATTCCAGATAAAAGATTTAGTCGTCTCTCTGAGCCTAATATTTGCACTATAAAACTAACTGGGTGAATGGTTTCGCGAATACACTGCAGTCATCGTTTAATACAACGGCAAGGCAAACCCAAATGGCTCGCACTGCAGAGGCAGCGATAGCCTGTGAAATTATCTGAATTACTCGATTTCTTCCACAAAAGTATTTATAACACTTCTGAATCGAAGAGACCAACCTTAACCTCTATTTGGTTTTCGCAGGACATGAGTACAAGGACATGCTTACTCGATCCTCATGCCAGAACCGCAAATAACTGATTGGGAAGCAACTTTACGACAATTTATAATAAGATATCTAAAAGCAGCAGAAAACACTTGAAAAAGTGATTGAATTGCCAGTGAGAAGTAATAATAATGATAAAAAACAAACAAACAAACTTTTAAGTTATGTAACTGATAAAATTATTCCCTTCTCTAAACGACAAAACTAGCCAACAAATTGAAAAAAAAAAAAAAAAGAAAGAAAACAGCACTAGCTAAAGCCAAATGTTCGACGCTAATAACAGTTCGATGAACGGCGCATTTTATACTGTATGGACAGTATATTGCCTAAGCCTTAATTTAAGAATAATGCAAGAATATTTTCAGCCTTAAATTGGCCGAAAAATAAGAAGATTCAGCCTGGGCCGGAAAACCAACTTACTTATGTGAAGATGAGTGTAATTCAAACATACTTACCTTCTTGAACCCACTGATGAACTAAATAAAAAAAGAAGTAGAAACTGCTTTTAAACCATTTCAGCTTGATAGAAGTAATGCATTCAGTTTCCTTTATGTAAAAGTTTCAACAAAACATAAGTTGTTTCTATTCCTTGTTTATAGTAATTGCTTCAATTTTCTTTGTTGTTACTCACTATACCATAGTGAGAAACGGAAGGAAGTCAAACGACCTTTGGTTGTTCTGATGAAAAAGGAAGATCAAATTAAACTGTATGCAAGTACAAAATTTTATTCATAAATAAAATACCAAATGAGCATTCGCGCGAAAACACGATATCCTCCTGGCTCCCCTGCTCTGCACCACCACCCCTCCCCACTAAAGTTCCCTTTTTTCTTTTCAGGTCCCTCGAATACAGGTGAGATTACTTTGTGGGCCAAACCATTTTTACTGTCTGTGGCTGATGGCGTTAGTAAGTTGTAGAATTCTTTGTCGACTTTTGAGTTCACTGACTAAAACACTTCAATCGCTTTAATCAATAGTATCTCAGACCTTAGCATTATTCACACTGAAATGATTGATTTTTCCGCTGTTTGAGGGATTGTTCTTGACCGATATTGTCACACTCTACGTTGACGTAACTTCCCGCTTCTGATCTGCAAAGACAGATCGAGATGAAGACAACGCGTCTTCGATTTGCTACTATCCAACTTGCTATCTGCGCGCCATTTTCTCGCATCTTTTCTAAATATAACATTCAAGATTTGACCCACCGACAGTAATGTCTTTTCGTTGGAATGAAGCGCAAAATGTGCAATGTGCTTTAAAAAATGATCTTTATCTTGTATGCTTTTTATTCTGAATCCTGTGTTTTCTCGATTTTTTTAGGTATGCACTTGCGAACTGCGCGTACTAAATAGGTCGCTACACCGGCCTGCCAGTTAACTAACTATAGCCGATGGCGGGGTAAACGGATGTTTCACACAAGATCGCTTGTTTATACCGCAGAGCTGCCCTTTACTTTCAACACAACACCTGTGCCGGCTAACACAGCCAGTTTCAACCCACAACCCTTTGATTTACTGCCTGAATTAAGAGCGCCCGAAACATCACTCACCGGTAAGTGAGCAACTCCCATCCGAGAAGCTGCGAAGGAGCTACATGTAGCAGTCCTTGTGACTGATTTAAACTCCAAAAATTATTGTCGTTTCACGAATGGTTAAACTTGAGGAATGCTAAGATTATTGTTTTCCCTATTATCCACAATGTTTTTGCTGACTAACTGATTACACATTTATAAAGCGGAAGGAACAAGTCAGGCGGATTTCCATCCAAATGAGATCGTTCTATCTTCAAATTAAGACGTATTATCTGTCTGACGCGAATTATCCAACGGATAACCCTTCTCAGACGGATAATCCGTCTGTAATGTGAATACGGCCATCAAGTCGTTTGAATCGTGCCGTAACTGGCGCTTTTTCTACTTTGTAAGTTAGTAAACCGGTTCTCTAAAGTGAGTCGTTGATAGTCTGTAGAATTCGTATGTCGCTGAGTCCCAGTTGATTTGATGTTTCTTTTGTAAATAGTATTCAACAATGTGGTTGTTCACGTGACCATTTATTAGTGAGCTTACGTAAGCAGCAGGACGGGAGAGGAAAGAAGCAATGGAAGCAAACCGTTCTAAATAGCATTTAGCAAAATATGTATATTTAATTAGGTAGTCATGCCTTAAGGTGGCCTGAGAATGTAAGGTACATTCGACCAGTTCAGGTCGCAGTTGAAGACATACTAATTTAAATTACCCTACGATGTTTGATTTTAGTGCTTTATTTTATTTTTATTTTATCTTATAATAGTTTTTAACTCTAGTTTCTTACCATATTATTGTACAGCGCTTTGAGCAATTAGTGGATATCACGCTATATAAGTGTCTATTATTATTATTATTATTATTATTATTATTACTATTATTATTATTATTATTATTATTATTACATCCATTCACACCCTAACTGAATAGACATACTACAGCTCAAGAATCTTTCCGAAATATGGTAATGTTGTAGAAAAGGAGAAAACAATCATGAGAGAATACATTGCGGGGGGCAACCAAGCTCGGTACATTTTCGCGTGTTTCATGGGAATTTGATGTTGTGCTTAACTCGAGACAATAGGAAATCGAGAAACAAAAAAAGAAATGGTCGGGAAATAGACGTTTAACTCCCTATTCTTTTCTACAATTATTTCGAAACTTTTATTACTGGCCGCTTAATGGAGGTTCATCTATGTCATGAAAAAACAATGTTAAGTTACCTTGACCATTTTTAATTAAGTGATAACGAGGGCTGATGGCGAGAATTCCCAGTACCCTTTCAGCCGACAAACTAGCTCTCTACTCTATAACCCACTGCTGTACGTACACCGACGGACCTGGCAAAACACGCATTAGTTTAAATTGTATGGTCTTAAAGACTGATTGAATACTGACCATCCTTAATTTCTCCTTCTAAAATCATTTTGTTTGAGAAGTAATATCAAGCATTCGACACAGCGTTTTATCACCATATGAAGGACCTCGTAGTTCGTCAAAAATACTCCGCTGCGCGTCGTATTTTAAACTCTGTTGTCAGTGTTTCATCTGGTGATGAAACACTGCGTCTCATGCTTGATATATTACTTAAGGCCTATTTCTGACCCGAAGTGTATGAAGCGTTATATAAGAGCGGATGCAGATCGTATGCATAATAAACTGATATTTTTCCTTTCCACTCCAAAGATCAAATTACTTGTTCCTTCCGTTTTATAAATGCAATTAGTTAGTCAGCAAAATCACGGTGAATAACAAGGAAAAAACGGCAATATTCCAAGCATTTTTATGTTAATCTATTACGTGCGGTGGCAAAAGCGTATAAATGTGACAGAACCTGGTCATATATTCAGTATTCCCTTGGATACAGCAAGGTAAGATCAAAGCCGGAAACTTCATTTCTTGTATGACTGAGGACCCGACTGGCAAAGCTTAGAGGAGTTTGTAAGCATTTTATTTTCTTATTTTAATTCACAGGTTTTTCTTAGCATTTTCACATGTTTTTATCCAATAGTGTACAACATTACTAGTTTCATTGTCACAGTTCCTTTAGTTTGGCGTAGTTTTTTTTGCAGTTGGTGTAGTTGATGTAGTTAACGTCGTTGCTATAGTTGCTAAAAATGCTGTTGTTTGGTGTAGTTGCTGTAGTTTGGAGTAGTTGCTGTAGTTAGGTGTAGTTCCTGTTGTTCCTGTAGTTTGCTGTAGTTCTTGTAGTTTCGTGTAGTTGCTGTAGTTGTAGAACCGGTAGTTTGGTGTAGTTATTGTAATTAGGCTGATTAGGTGTAGTTGCTGTAATTCCTCAGGTAGTTTGGTGTAGTTCGAGTAGTTGCTGTAGTTTGCTGAAGTTTGGGGTAGCTGCTGTAAGTAGTTGCTGTAGTTTGGTAAAGTTCCCGTAGTTGCTGTAATTAGGTGTAGTGCCTGTAGTTACTGTAGTTCGGATTAGTTGCTGTAGTTTGGGGTAGTTGCTGTAGTTAGGTGTAGTTCCTGTAGTTGCTGTAGTTTGGTGTAGTTCCTGTAGTTGCTGTAGTTTGGTGTAGTTGCTGTAGTTGCTGTAATCGATATCAGCTGTAGTTGCTATAATTACGTGTATTTCCTGTAGTTGCTGTAGTTTGGTGTAGTCACGGTAGATGCTGTATTTAGGTGTCGTTGCTGTAGTTTGCTGTAGTTGCTGTAAGTAGGTATAGTTTGTTTGTTTGTTTTTTTTGCAAAAATGATTTTATTAATAACTTCACAGCATTACATAAACTGTACAATCTGATACTGGCGTTACAACTGTACTTAAAAGAGCTACACTACACTTTATCCTGAAAAAATAAATCAATATGTATACTCGACAGCAGAAATATACAAATAACAATAACAGACCGGGGGGGAGGGGAATAGACTGAATTAAGACAACATTTAATTTTTTCCCATTAATTGTCATGGAATTCTACCTTATTCTGCATAAATGCTATTCCACCTTCTATATTATGTATTGCTCCGATTTTTTTTTATGACCCGCATTGCTGGTTTAACACCATTTAATTTACAGCGACAAATGTAAAACGTTGCCACTAGAATAAGATGATTTACAATGACAAAATCTTCTCCTGCGTTGAATATACCAAATAGAACTTTAACAACCGACAAAGGTTCCAAACTGATATTACATTCCATAAGCCAAGAACGGAGAGCTACCCAAAAGGATCTTGTTATTTCGCCATTGTAAAAAGGATGCTCAAGTAACTCAATCGCGCTTTTGCAAAAGGTACATCGTGGCGAATCAATCATCTTAATTTTAAATAACTTTTCATTCGTGAAAACAATGTTGTTCAAAACCTTATATTAGAATTCTCTAATTTTTGTTTCTAGCGAGACTGTGAATGAGAGCGAATATATTTCGTTCCAATCAAATTGGACATCAGGAAATTGATCCTGAAACCTCTTTTGAGCAGATTGGAGGAGTTTCGCCATTTTGAATGCATTGTAAAGATATTTCGATGTGACCGAAGACAGATGGACATTAGTGTTATCAATTTTAAGGTGGACCGTGTTCCTCAATTCAGGACGAGTGTAATGAGTACTTTGTTAAATAGCAGGTTTTCTCCATTCAACAGGTACCTCGTCCATAAGACCTATTACCTTACAACGGTCAATTGGAGAGAGGTCCTTAACCCTTCTAAAGAAAAGATTGCCTACAGTTAAAATGTCTTCCTTCAGGAGATGCTTTTCAAAACCCGAATGCTTCTTGATGATAATGTTTGTATTGTTCCAAATTACTTGGTTCGCCAAGTCCTCGTATGAAAGAATATTTTATATATTTAGCCTAGAACAGGCGTCTAGACAATCTTTATAAAAAGGCAGAAGGTAAATTGGAAGTTTCTTTGTATCGAAATTACAGTGGAGGATGAACTTACCCCCTACTCCCAACAGGAAATAATCCAGGATTATTTTCCAAGAGCTAATGGTTTTCTTCGTCTGCGTATTTTTTTAATACCATTGCTCTCTGTGCGCAAATTATTGAATGAATATCTACATTTTCAAACCACCATCATTAATATCATTTATTAGAGCAGATCGTTTGATTTTATCATTTCCTTTCCAAATAAAGTGATAAATCAACTTGTTGATTTCTTTAACTTGGTCTTCAGGTACTGAGATTAACGCTGCTTTGCTTAGGAATTTCGGAATAATAAAAGACTTTTAATTACAATCTGAATTTTTCCTAACAGGGCTAGGCCCCTACCTTTCCAACCATTTAAAGTTCCCTGGATTGATTTAAAGATGGAGTCACAGTTGGCCTTCAATCTAGTTGCGGTGTCATAATTAAAATAAACTCCCAATATTTTGATCATACTACGTATTTTGTGAGTAAAGACATGTTGAACAAGACTGTGCGGACCTATAGCAAAATCTCTGTTTTGTCATCATTTACACGAAGGCCTGAGTATCTGGCAGAATTTTTTTTAAAGATTTCAGCAGTCGAAAGTATGAATTGGTTTCTCTCAAGAAACAGGTCATATCGTCGTGAAAGAGGGTCGTTTTGAATTCTTTACCATTAATGAAAAAGCCTTTAATATTTCTATTTTCCCGACTTTGACTTACAAGCGTTTCCAACGCAAGAATGAACAATAAAGAAGAAAAATGATCACCCTGTCTTACCCAACGTTTACCAAAAAAGATATCAGTTGTAAAACCATTATTCAGTACAGGGGCGGATCTAGGGGGAGGGTGCAGGGGGTGCGCACCCCCCCCCTGAGATGACCTGCGGTTTTCTAATACAACTGGTATTCTGCAAACAAAAAAACAAAAAACTATGTGGTTTATTGGTATTGAAGTAGAGCAAGAGACGAGTGCACCCCCTCCTAAAAAAAATCCTGGATCCGCCCCTGCAGTACACAGTTTGACAAGTTCCTATAGAAAGTCTTAATCCATTGAAGAAAATTTGGTCCAAAACCCATTTTCTGTAAACCTGAAATAAAAATTTGTGGTTCAGCGAATCGCATAAAAGCCTTTTCAAAATCAATTGCAAGTAGAATACCGGGTTGGTTCATTATTTTGCGATCTCAACAACGTCATCGATAGTGCGTACCGCCCACTTAAAATTCAACCGTTATTCCATCATTACCGGCAGATTTATTTTTTGGAATGATTTCAATGCTTTCGTAGTGTCCTTTCATTGTAATTTTTTCCTCCAGTGCATCCCGTTGTCCTTCTGTCAATGTTTTTGTGTTAATTCCTAACAGAAAACTATTTAAAGAGGAACTGTCCTCCTCGGACAAAGGTTTGTCATAGGGCGTAGAATAAAAAGTATGAATTTCACCCATAATTTCTCTTGGATCAGTCGTGTGCTCCTCGTTTGGTTTACATAGTTTTCTAATGCGACTCTTTTTCTTCCTTGAAGATTCTAAATTCAAAAAATATTTGTTACTCTTTTCCCCTTGTTACCAATTTGCTCGTGATCTCATCATTGCTCCTCGAGCGATATAATCATCAGGGGCACCCAACGGGAATTTTCGGGAAAACATGTGTTCGGAAGACGATTTGAGATCTAGAATTTTCGAGCATTTGTTGTAAAATTTCTTGCTTGCCTGTCTCTCCTAGGATTTTCGAACATCTACAAAATGGTATAATTACCCATTTTTAGCGGATTTTGACCCTAAAAAAGGCCACCTAGATTTTTCTGGAGCCTTTTGCTGGCTGAAAGGTAAGTTTTTATCCCTATAATTTTCGGATCACTAGACTTTCAGCTAGGAAATCCGAACAGATGAAAAGTTTTTAGGTGATAAAAATATGCCTATATCTACCGTTTGAATACTAAAATACGTTCAACAATGCTATGTTAAGTGGTTTTGAACTATATCCTCGTTGGGTGCCCCTGAATCATACTGGCGGTCATACTCTGTCTGTAAAACTTCTAGATTGTTAAGGTTTTCTGAAGTACGATCTTTGTCACATTTCATAGCATACTCCTGAATATTCCTTTCCAGAGTTGGCAACTTCTCGCTCCTTTCTTTAGCTACCTGTTTATTGTACGTTATAGTTTCGTTGCGGATTTTATATTTTATGAAATCCCAAAGGACCCGTGGATCTTGGATTTCCACACCTCAGTCTTCTAGCCATTTGTCATATTTTTCATTTATAAGCGCTACATATCTTTCATCTTCTAATAAACTAGCATTAAATTTCCAACATGATGGACCTTTTGCAGTCTCATCAATTCCATTTACATGCAATGTGATAGTCGAATGATCAGTCTTAATTTCAGGAACAATGTCGACATCGTCAATTTCTTCTTTTAGTTTACTAGATGTCAGTCAAACATCTAGTCTCCGCTGTATCAGTGGATTACCTTGCTTCCATGTAAAACGTTTGGATTCTGGATTTCTGATTCTCCAAATATCAATTAGGTCAAATGATGAACCGCGATTTTCAATTTTTTTACATGATATTTTAAGTTTCGGTTTACCTCCAAATCCATCCCTGTCGTAATCCAGTATAACATTGAAATCACCTCCAATAATTATTTCACTGTCTGCGTCTATTTCAAATCCATCTAGCCTCATCTGCATTTCTTCGAAAAAAGTGCACTGGTCGTTTGCTCTATTTGGTGCATAGATCAAGGACAAATGGATTGTCTTGCATCTGACCTCTTAAAATTATAATAAATCTCCCATCGCTATCCATATGACACACCTTCAACTCTCAATCAAAATTCTCTTTTGAAAGAATCATGACGCCTCTACTATGCTCAGATCCGTGACGTCTCCTCTCCATTGTGATTTCCATACTAATCCAACTTCCGGAGTGCTGTACGTTTCGTGGAGAAATATATCCTGTTTGCTTTTAACTAACCAATTGAAAATGGCTTTTCTTTTCTCAAGAGATCGAATCCCTCGAACTTTCAATGATAATTGTTTAAAAGTTAAATTAAGTTCCATTGTCACATATTTTAATCTCTGAAGAAAACAGCGGAAAGGCGGTAGAAGACAAATTTAGGCATACATGTAACCTGCATGTTTCTCTATTCATAAAGAGTCGACCCCCAAAAATAAACAATAGGAAAATAACACGAAAAATAATGACGAAAAATAACAATAGCCACAAAGAACTAACACAATACTTAAAAATAAAATAGCAGCCAGCCACAGCTGTTCATTGTGCCACCTTTGACTGGTACCTTGCAATCTTTGATCTTAATTATTAGCATTCTGGTTTCTGCTCCACAGTTCTTGGCAAAAGAAAAATTTTACCACTTTGAATAGGTAGAGAGTATATGCTGCCTAAATGATTTTTCAAATGTTCCTACATCTCAACACCGTCAATAAACAATTTATCCGGCTCCGCCCCGTACTAAAATAGGCGGTCTTACCGTCCTTTTATGCTTGTCAGTTTAAATCGCTTCATCTTCTTCTTTCTTCTTTCCAAAATCTCATTTGGAAGGTCCAGCGAAATTTCAAAGTTTTTTCTTTTTAACTTTCCAGGATTGGACATAACTTCTTCACGTTGAGGGTATTTCAAAAAACGTGCGATTATTTGTCGAGGTTTACCATCGGAGGAAAAACGCTTTCCAACACGATGAACCCTTTGGAATTCGATTTGGTCTGAATTTTCCATGACAAGCTCTGTTTTAAGGAATCCAACCAAAACCTCTCTCGCGTCCTCCTCCGTATCGGCTTCTTTACTTCCGAAAAAAACGAACAAGGTTTTTCCCGCCGCTGGTATACTTCCATGTATAGTTTCTCGTCCCTGAGCTGATTAATTTCGCATTTCAGCTTGTCAAATTTCTCCTTGAAAGACTCGCGTTCCGTGTTCGCAAAATCCAATCCGTCTTCCAGCTCTTTGAAACAGTCCACCTTTGCCTGCAAATTACTCACTTTTTCGTCAACTGCTTTTACATACCGTTCCAAATTTTCAAGTTTTTCCAACACTTGTTCGAGTTTCGGGATAACCTCCCCCGCCATATTCAGTCAGTTCAGTTAGTCCATATTCCATATTCAGTTAACTATGATAGTTAACACTTCGTCTGATTCAGACAATTCAGAATCTGACAGCGAAGCGTCGTGACTTAGTTTTTGCCACCTAAGGAAAGACTATCATCGGTGGAAGATGCTGAAGAACGTTTCCTCGATTTTTGTTGAACAGTTTCGGCCATACAACGTTGCCAAGAACGGAGCAAAACCACACACGTCTACTCCGACATCTTGCCCGACCCAGTCTCTCCAAGTAGTTGCTGTAGTTTGGTGTAGTTGCTGTAGTTGCTGTAATTAGGTAGAGTTGCTGTAGTTTGGTGTAGTAGTTGTAATTAGGTGTTGTTGATGCATGTAGTTTGATGTAGGTGCTGTCGTCGCTGTAATTATAGTGTAGTTGCTGTAGTTTGATGCAATTGTTGTCAGTTTAGTTGCTGTAGTTTGGTGTAGTTGCTGTAGTTTAGTATAGTTGGTGTAGTTAGCTGTTAGTGGTTACTGCACTTTGGTATAGTTGCTGTAGTTTGGTGTAGTAACTGTTGTTGCTGTAATTAGGTGTAGATGCTGTAGTTTGATATAGTTGCTATATAAATACTCCCAGTAGTTTGGTGTAGTTGTTGTAGTTTGGCGTAGTTCCTGTGGTTGCTGTATAGTTGCTGTAGTTTGGTGTAGTTGCTGTAGTTAGGTGTAGTTGCTGCATGTAATTCCTATAGTTTGGTGTAGTTCGAGTAGTTACTGTAGTTTGGTGAAGTAGCTGTAGTTTGCTGAAGTTCGGTGTAGTTGCTGTAATTAGGCGTAGTTAATGTAATTAGGTGTAGTTGCTGTTGTTTGGTGTAGTTTGGTGTTCTTGCTGTAATTAGGTCTAGTTGCTGTAGTTTCTGTAACTAAGTGTAGTTGCTGTAGTTGCTGTAGTTTGGCGTAGGTTGGATAACTACCTAGCCGCTTGGAGTTAAGAAATTTCTTATTTCTTATGTTGAGAAGACCGTAAACCCTAACTACAGCAACTACACCAGCTACGACACTAAACTACATCAACAACAGCAACTACAGCAACTACACCAGTTACAGCAACTGGATCCAGCAACTACAGTAACTACACCAAACTACAGCAACTACACCAAGAGGCTGAACGCCGAGGTCGACAATAATTTCGAAATCTCCATAATCCTTCACATCTTACGAAAGCCGAATTCAATAATTGTTTTATTATTCATTCAAAATATCTTAAAGTCTTTAACAAGCTTACCTTGTCGTAGACTTTCTTCCAGCTTGAAGCAATGCATTCAGTTTCCTTTATGTAAGAGTTTCAACAAAATATGTTGTTTTTATTCGATGTTAGTAATTGTTGAGTAGATGTTTCGCAAAAGATCGCTTGTTTATACCGCCGAGCTGCCCTTTACTTTCAACATAACACCTGATTTTACACTAACACAACCAATTACAATCCACAATCCTTTGATTCACTCCGACGCGCAGAGAAAGCGCCCGAAACATCATTCACCGGTGAGTGAGTGACTCCGACCCTAGCAGCTGCAAAGGAGCTACATGTAGCAGTCCCTGTGACTGATTTAAACTCCAAAAAGTATTGTCCAGTGTGACAGATTATCCGTCTGAGACGGATAATCCATCTTCAAAATCCGTCATAATTGACCGAAAAACAGATGGATAAAGTCAGGCGGATTTTTCATCCAAATTTAAGACCATTCCATTTTCGAATTAAGACGTATTATCTGTCTGACGCAAATTATCCAACGGATAACCCGTCTTAGACTGATAATCCGTCTCTAGTGTGAATACGGCCAATAAGACGTATTTATTATTCTACTATTATGTCATTTTACCATATAAGGTCAAGAGAACGTGCAAAATGCGAGGCCGTAATACACTGTAATGTCCTGGTTTAACCGGTTTACAACAGGGCAAATATTTTGCGAACATCTTGTTGCACATGGCACTAAGAAAATGCATCCTTTCCCGAAATTGTAAGGTTGAATGAAACCGTGGTTTTAGAATAAAGTTGCCTCAACAATGAAATCTCGAGATTTATTAAAAATAGTCAGAACATACAAACATTATAAGTTCAAAATACAACAGAGAAGATCAAAACAGACCTGAACGTGTGCATGAGATGCATGGTGACGGCGACAATCCGTGACACATAAACAACGTTGAATAAATACAATTCCCACAGAAGAGGTTAACAGTCTTCAATTCTAGTCCTTTTAAGATGTGTGGAAACCCGATATGGAAGACTCTAGACGTTCTCTAAAGACTAAACGTTAGTACTAATCCCGGCGAAGATGAGGATTCAAGCCTGTTGTTTACGAGAAGATCTTAAAAACTCCTTCAATTCGTGGATGATTTTTCGTCTTTCCATCGCAATTTGCTCTGCTCACTTTACCTTCTTGCAGTCGGTTTTACATAAGAATCGGAAGACCATCATAAACCTCATAATTGTTTGTTATTCCACCCCTGTTTTCCTAGCAAATGGTTGATAGATAGCACCTCGAAGCGTCGAAGAAAACACAAGAAATCCGACTGTCAAACTAGTTTGACAAGTTTTTATTATAGACCAATCATTAACAACGTTGCATGAAGCGCGCGAAAACTGGTCTTTTTGCGAACATTTTGCTCACTGTTAACGTCATTCTGACAGACGGAATCAGGATGTTTCTTTCTGAGTACCCTTACCAAAAAATGGAAATCAATAGCAAATAACAATTTTTTTTTTGTAGTGGAATAATAAACCTCTTATTCGATGGTTAAGCATATAATAGCGGAGCTCCTCGCGCGCGAAGCGCGCGCGCAGCGGAGCACCATGGGTAAGAAAATTTGATAAACTATCCATCCGAGAAAACTTGGTTATGACGTAGCGTACGCTCGTCCGCCCACCCGTACACACTCTTCATGTAAGCAGATGTCAAATGTCACAATAGATCTTGCACAACTTGATTAGCCTCTTAGTTATGTAAGCCATCCGTATGAGTACGATTAGATTGACAGCTGAATTGACAGCAAAATCAGGCATCCGCTGACAATTATCACATGACCATCTCGCGGGCTCAGATGAAAGACCAGTCGTTTTGCCCCTACATATAAGCTGATATAATATGTCACACTTACCAATTCAACATAAAAACGAAACTACGCTGGGCAAGGCTGTCAGTTGGCTGACAGTCTTTTAAAGTTATATTGGCAAGCCAAATTAAGGTCAATTGACAGCTGTCAAAATGGGACATGTGCAGACTACTATCAGAAAACTAATAACGTGGGCTCAGGTTTGCTCAGGTACACGATCTGGCATTTTCCACTACATGCCATGCCTTACTCACACTCGTAGTCTGTTAATTCGAATATTCGCCATTCTAATGAAGGTTAATTGACAGCTGTCAAACTAGAGTATACGCTGACCATCATCACCTGAGTGTCTATCCATTGAGGCCACGTAGTGTTTAAAGTTTTGCGCTGATATTTTATTTGATCACGGGCTCAATTCGAAGCCTCATAGCTTAGAAAATCTATCCATCTTAGAAAATTCGGCAATCACGTGACCGTAAACCGACCACCCGACCTTCCGTTTGTCCGCACCACAGGCATACCAATGTTTAATCTCACACTTTCTAGCTAGTTTGGGAGCCTGCAACCTGATATTGTACAACCATGTTTTGATTAATTGACAGCTGTCAAAATAATGTTTCTGCTGACCAGTATCGCCTGACCCTATCGCGGGCTCAGGTATCGACCCACTGAGTTCGAGTGTATCTGCTGACAAGTTTCTACTTTTCAATTATCGCAGGCTGAAGTTCAATTTTTTTAAAATGCATATGAAATAAGTCGTGTTCATGAGCCGCACTTTTAAAATGTTGATTTCGAACTGACCTCGGACGCGAAAATTGAACCGGCTTTTACATTTACATGCAGGGAAGGGAATCACTTTTGACTTTTCTGACTGTCACGCGTTGATCACGCTCTACGTCCAATTTTTTTGTTCTGATTGGCCAAAATTTGACAGGTGAGTTCATGCAGAAAATTTATGCAGCGTCTGGAAACTTGCTTACTGATAGCTGGAGCTGAGAGAGTTTTGTGCCATCTTGTGATGCTTTAAACTGTCTATTTCTACTTGGTGTACAAAATGAAATACAGCTGCTATCAAGATTGTTCTGTAATTCATGGCTGGTTTGTTTATTGCACTTTTTGTTGACAAATGCACAGCTTGTCAAAGTCATTGGAAATCCGATTTCGGATGGCATCGTTTTCAAAAATGAGCTTACTCACTTGCCTTTGCTTGAGGCGTAAGAGGGTTGAAAGGTCTCAAGCGATTCTGGAACACTTGATGACCTTCAGAAGCAGCATCTCGACTGGTAAGCCTGAGCAATTATTGTCTTTGATGTGTTTTTTTTTTTTCGGTTTCCTGAAGTCGAGCGTATGGTTTATGCGGCGTAAGTTTATACACGAGCAATGATCTAACCTACAATAGTATCAGGATTAAAAAGCCTTTAGACATTTTTTGACCACAAATCCAAAGAAAGGGTTCCGAAGTTTATTTAGTTATGATTTTGGCTGTAAACAGAAAGCTCTGAGCGATTTTCTTGCCTTGAGTTCATCTTGAAAAAGAGCTAACACCTGGAAGCCGGCTTAAAACATAAATAAGCTTATGCTTACCTGACTCATGATTTTCAGAGACACTTTACTTTCAATACTTCTCTTCGTGAATGAAAATTATTGTCGCTGTACATGTTTCACCGAACTATATTTATTTTAATGATTGTTAGTAGTCTCTCTCGCAATTTTTATCGCTGCACCGGTTGTTTCCAGTCGAACTGATAAACATCGCATGCAGGAATACTCAAAACGCCGCGCGTAAATATCACTCGCTTTTAAAGATTACACATAACAAAACCATACACAGTTTAAGAAATAAAGGGAAATAAAACCTAAACATAACAATTTATTTATCATGTTGAAGAGTAAATGGTAACTCTATTAATCGCACTGCA